AACACAGCAGACTTGCAGGCAACAGCGCATCAGCTGGTCAGTGGCATGCATTCGTTTCGGGCGATGGACCTGTGCATAGCTGACGAGCGCACCAGGCAAGTCTTGCCGCTCACGCTGGATGTGCCCAAGAGACCTCATGCACATGGACCGAGCGCCCGATGCTCTGAGACTAACAAAGCGGGAAAGCTAGCTGAATGCCGTGGTCTTGCTGCAGAAGAGCAGCTGCAGCAGCGCGCCGCCATCGTAGCTGGACAGTGTGTTGCAGGCCTGGTGGGCTTGTAAAGCCTGCCAGGATCTCACGTGTTGCTCCTTATTGCCTCATGCCCCTGTGAACTGCGCATATCAATACCTGCTGCCTGGTTGAAGAAAGACTCGGCCGCCTCTAGGTCCCTGCTTTGCAGCTTCACATGACCTCAGCAAATGTTTGTGATACTGTATCTGGTCTAACGAATCACGCAGTTTCCTCACACATTCAGACATGTTCAAGCGCTGTGCAGCTGAGGGTCCAATCCGCGTGCAGATCTGTGCAGCTTCCACGGACTCCAAGCTGCCAGCTTCCTGTAAGATGTCATATGCTTCGAAGAGCAGCCGCGCCGCCTCGTCCAGGTCTCCACGTTCCTTCCAGAAGAATGCAGGACAAGAGGATAAGATGTTGCGATTAGTAAAGGCAGCGTTGGGTCTCCCTGCAGAAGCCCGTCTCCCAAACTGCAACAAGCGGCTCGGGCCACGTGGCCCTTTGCACCCAACAGAGCAGCACGTAAAGAAGTATCCGACTCGCAGCTTGCTTGCAGCACATCAGCGGCACGCCTCAAGTGTACAGCTTGCGACATCGATGGTACTCTTGGCGCTGCCTTCAGCTTCTGCTAGTCTCTAGGGGTAGATGAACGTTTACCGTGCGAAACAACGGCCCCACACAGCCTACATGTATGTACGGCTCAGGTTTACATGAGATTGAACTGCATAGTCTGTGACTGAAACTAGCAAGCGCCATGCAAGGACATGTAAGACCAGGATGGGTCAAGAGGCTGCAGCAACCCGTCCGCAGTATCGAGGTTGCCCAGGGATCGGAAGAGCTCAGCCACCTGCATGGAGCACACTGAACCCCGAATATCAATCTATCATTTTCTATCTATCTACCCAGTAGCCGTGTACAGACAACCGCTTGCGCGTGCACGCGTGTGTGCCCACGCGCGCTTAGATGTACTGGCTGTGGGAATGAACGCGTTGCGAGGAAAGCATGCCTGCTTAGAGTATACCCAGTGGTCATCAACATGCGAACAAGCCCATGATAAGATCCGGCCGTTCGCAAGGCAAACGCAACAGTACTTCCCACAGGGGTGGTGCCTCTGCCTACATTGCCATTTCGTCCAGAATATCTGCTGAAGCAACAGTGAGTGATATATTTCTATGCACAGCGACGATCTTCTAGGCCATACGAGCCTAGGTTGAGTACCACTTCGGAAGTGTTTGGATATGCCAGAGTGGCCAACAGGACTATGGTCTGTACAGTACCGCAGTGCCCCCCCCACCCGCCCACCCCCCGCACATCCCCTTCGGCCACCACGCGCCTGAAGGCACCCTTTTGCCAGCTCGGCTGAGCTGGTGCTTTCCATCTGCCTCTGGATCTGCTCCTGGGCCATTGGAGACACGCGAAACTCACGTCTAGCAGTTACGATTGAAGGTGCAATGCCGCACAATAAAGAATTTGTGCAAGGAAGGGCACATGGGCAACGTCTGCAAACCAGCTCTGAAGCTTGTGGACCACGCTCCCTCAGCGGCCAAGTTGATCGGACAGTTGCGGTTAGGGCTTGTTGACCCGAGGTGTAAAAGGCCGCCAAAACCGCCTGACCATGTCAGCATATGTCAGCGTCATCAAGTGTGGTTAGTGTTGTTTAAAAGATCCAATGTCAGCTCGAAGGAGGCCAGCACCACAATCTGCATGTTCCTCTTGTGACGCAATGCCAAAATCACGAGCATCACAGCTGGCCACCGTCGTGGCAGACACAGCTCCAACCAAACAAGGCATCATGATTCACACAGCAAAGCTAGTGTCACCAGTCTCATCTGTTACATGCTGACACCAGGTCTTAGCCAGGGGGCGATTTAGCTCGGAGAATCCTGGGCTGTGCTCCACAAGGCGGAGGATCATATCCCGATCCTCGGTGACGGAGGCCTGCGCCTGGCAAATGAGCTGCGATGTACGCTTCATGATTCCTGTGTTGCGATTTTTTGCAGTCATCAGAAAGGCAGGGATAGCCAGGTCAGGGTGCGTCCTTCCGAAGTCTGTTGGTTGTGTGTTCTCTCATTCTTGTGGGGTGTGCGTGTGTGTGCTTTGCTTGCTTGCTGTCGGCCCTAAGGGAGTCGGCTCATGAGCCTCCCCCCTGCGCGAAACGCACAGCCGGTCGCTTGGTTCGCACGAGGTCTCTTTGGTCGATGAGAGACACGGCTTTGGTCAGTGCGCGGTCTGAGCGGCGTAGGTAGGACGGTTGTCGTGGAACCAACCCTGACCCCGTACTTTAGCCCGCATGCCGGCCTCATCTCCGTGCACTCTACGCCGACTCTACGGCACCACCGCTTTCCCCCTACAGTACTCAACGGTCTGCAGCATCCCCCTTTACAGAACAAACACCGACATGGCAAATTAAGATTCAGTCTAGTCTAGACTGGACATTCACGCAGTAGTGTTCACTGCTGGGGGCCTTTCTTTGAGGTTCTCCACCATTCCAAAGCAACACTGCAACACACAACTATGTATGTGAACGTGTATTGGTGGTCTCCTCGTGTGTTCAGACCAGTACTTTCCGCCTCGGTGTCCTAACTCAAGCAATAAAGTCTCAGTCTCTCCCTCTCACTCTCTCTCGGGCCTGAGCGACGGTCAAGTCCCCCGGGTGTCAAGCCCACCCAAACCTATTTGGGATAAAGGGAGTGAGATACGAATGTAAGTTCATCATTAGGCTAAAGCCATGAAAAGTAAGATGGCCCCCTCTCTCTGTCTCTCTCCTTCTGCGAACGAAATAAGAACACCATCCGAGGAGAATTTCCCGGGAATGTTGGTACGGACTTGAGAGATGGCCTTCTGCAACTGCGTCTGAGCAAGCGTCCGCCACTGCTCCTGCAACCAGAGCGGCAACAAGAACACACTGCCTACAAAGATCCGATCAGGCAAGGCCCTCCAGTGCATAAAGAGAATATGCACTATGCAGTTGCCATCGACTCCTGCAAACCGGAGCCTTCGAAAATTGCCCGGGCATAGCTTTCTGCCTGTCGACATCATGGCGCTCTTTGAGATTAAGGATGTCTCTTGCCCCCGAACTAATCTTCGCTGTCGCTGAAGTTGGGTGCTATGAACGATCCCACCTCACCTCTGCAGGAGGCATGACGATCTCTAGGGTGCAGTCCTGAGGCGTGGCACGGTAGACTCCTTCGAAAGTGCGCATCGCTAGACTTTCGTGTGGATGGGGAGACGACCTGAACTCCTGTCTCAACGCCAGGGTTCGGGCTGCTCCGAAGCAGTATGGAGCTCGAAGACACACCAAGCTCTATGGCAGTATCGGGGCGCTCTCCATGGCTCCATCAGCGCTATCACCTTACCTCAGACTTCACGCATGATTCTTCGAACAGCTGCAGGGTCGACGTGCCCAATAATTCCGTCGCGTTGTGTGATGGATTGGACGTGTGCTGTCTGCTCATGTGCAGGTGCGCTGCCGATGCTCCTCACACGGCCCCCAAAAGTGGCAGCGAGCTGTTCGAACGGAACATCAGAGCCAGCAAGTCTCGACTCCTTTCGCAGGGCCAACACGATTCGCACCCCATGTTTCGTGGACACCATACTGACTTCAGCGCTGGGCGTCCTGGATCCTATGCTGGTTCACTCCCATAAAGCACATCCATACCTCGCGCCAACAGAATGCCCGCCCGAAGAACGGGATTGCTACCCTCCAAGTGATCAGGGTGCCAAAAACATGCGTGATTTGTATATCACGTGTTATTTCATGTTGTTGAATCCGATTATATATTATTCTATAGTTATATTGTTACATTTTCCTATATGAACATATAACATATAATTAACTCATGAATTATCTATTTAATTCATCAACCATGTTTTTTAAGGTTTCATTGTATGTTGTCGTTGTCTGCTGAAGAAGGCTTCCGAGGGGCGTAGGTCTGCTCGGGAATCAGGCTCTTCCGTTGACAGAAGGCACTCAAGGATCCAATGATGCTGTCCACCGTGTACTGCCAAGTGTAGGAGAGCATGTGCGTAGCATGCCCAACATTGTCCTCAGAAACAAGGCGGAGTCAGAGAAAGTACCGTTTCAAAGGATAAGAAACCATCTCTGCCAAAGCTCCGAGCCCGTCAACGTGTCCACAAAGGCAGCCCCCAAACGACCATCCCTGGCCGCTGTGATCATTGCTGCTGCTTTTCCCTGGAAGATCTTCGAAAACTCTGAAACCCGTGGCCGTTTCCCGCGTGTTCGTAGCTACAGTCTAACTACAGTCTGACAGTCCAACCTTTAATCGTTTCGCAGACCATGCCATTCAGAACGTTGGTACCCGTGGCAAAATCAGATTTTGTGACCATGACACTGCATGTCTGGATGGGTCCGGGAATACTCCCCGGTGACAGTCTGTCTTCATGTACGTCTGCTGGCACGAGCCTGGGGCAAAGCACCTGGGCCCCCTTGGCACGGACCACATGCTGCTCGAGTTCACAGACGCGTGAGGCGCGGCTGAAGCCAGCGGCTTCGAGCTCCTCGCAGAATCCGGTCCTGTTGTCAGCCGTTGATTCCCAAACTGATCTAAACTCCGACTGGTAGTATTCAAAGCAGCTATGTGGCTGGCCGAGGCACTCCAAGTAATGCACGCTTGGTGCTAAGAGTGGATCTCCTTCCTTTGGATGCCCAGAGGTTGACAAGGTTGCATCGGCCATGGGTGCTGAGGCACAGCAGCTACCCATTGCAAGGGGATATCGGCCATCTAAGTTATTAGTTCAGGATGCCTCAGGCTTCTGTGAAGCGGCTGGAGTGTGCTGTGTTTTGGTTGCCTTGCGTATGATCGGCTTCCAGATTCCTACGCCCAATTGCTTGAGGGATTGCTGATGTGCAGTGGTGTTGGATACAACCCTCCTGCAGATCCGCAAAGCTGCGAAAGACAGCTTTTGAGCAGCCGTCCCAACAAATCCCAAACCAGAATCCTTCCGTCGACGCAACGTCCGCGGTCTGCTTCGACCGTACCTTGTGGCCAAGCGGAGGGGCGGCCCGCAGGGCGCCGGAGGCGCCGAGCTTCGACTTGAGCCACCCGGCGTTGGGGCGAGAGCTTTCTACTAAATGTGCTGGAGTCTTAGTAGTCAAAACGACCTGTCTCCAAACGTTGCAGCAAACAAAGGTCTCTTCAAGCAAAGCCTCTGTTCCCGGCAGAGAGAATCAATGCAAACAAAGGCTCATGACACTGCCACTCAGAGCAAGGCCCCATTCCGCTGCAGCTCTGAAGAAACTTGCCGCAGTAGTTCCTAGCGACGTAACAGCCAGGGCCGTTGCACCGTGGAGGTACATGCAGTGCTTGCTTTCGAGAGCTTCGGGCTTGTAGCACTCACACGCGGACAAACCAGTAAAGCCTCTGGCCAGCAGAGCTTCGTGGACTCAGCACGTTTCATGGTAACCAGCAGAGAAGCTTGTGCATTCGTCCCGACACTCATGTGGCTCTGCAGACTGGGTTCGCTTTAGTGGCGCCTGTGATGCCAGCCCAACTGGCACTTCCGGCAGGGAGGATGCCTCAGGCGCATTTAGGCGCTATTTTCGGGTTTGGGAATGCAAAAAAAAATAAAGCTCCCGCTAGGGACTGGTGCAGAGCTTAAGATCAGAGCGCTGTGGTGCGTTTAAGTCCTGTCTGGTGCTTCACCCAGACTTCAACAAGCTCCCAGGATCTCGTAGTTGTGCCATTGAATCTGCTACCAAGGAGCTCGGGGATCTATCGTGATCGATAGATCACCTGTAGAAAGTTGCAGTTGAAACCCATGTGTGCAATGCAAGAGTGACTGAGTCTGCTATAGTCAACAAATGGGACATCTCGCCAGGAAGCGCTTCTCAGCCAGCTGCAACGCTTTGACAACACTGTCTGCTGAAGGCTCCTATACCCGGAGGGCCTCCAAGAATTCGACAGAAGTCTAAGAAGTCCACCGCATTTCCTCCTCGGAGGGTGAGCGCTTGACTAGCGACAAGCACAACTAGCCGCAGGGTGCTCGTAACGGCCCGCAAGTGCTGAAGAAGAGTCTATCGAGGCCCAGCCGGACGAGTACGGCTTCGCGCTCGTATCCAGAAAGGTTTGGCCTTCCGCTTCGGCGATGGAAAGGTGAACATCTTCGAGCACAAGCTGAATGTCTCAGCTTTGTAGTTAGGTCCACCTACATGCTCATTTCTGCTGACAGTGGCTCAAGTGTGCAACCTGATCTGCAGAGGTATGCCGAGAGTCTGTAGTTCTGAGCTGCAGTGACTCTGCAAAGGTGCGTCATCATCTTGCATCCTGCTGAGGTGAGGGCTCCAAGCGGAAGAGCGTCTGCTCTACCCTGGGCAGAATGCCACAAGACTCTTGGAACAAAGCACTGCAGTGTTGCATCGCTCGGACTGCAGTGTCTAGGCGTCTGTGTAGCTGTGATCTGCTGCGTTGCAAAGGCCAGAGCTCTGATCTCGAAAGCGTGGAAGCACGGGCGTCCAGTCTGGTGATGAAATCATGCGGCCTGGGCAGTCCATGATGCAGATAAATGTACGTGTGAGTGTAGCAGCATTGCAGGACAAACAGAATGAATAGCGTCTTGCCTGCGACCGCTGCGCGCGATTGCAGCAGCGATGCGGCGAATGACTTCCTAGTGGGCCATGCCAGCTGTTCATGCGAGCACAGCCAAGCTAATGCTTCGCAGTACTTGCTTTCTGCCTCTGCCGTTGCGCGCTGGTGCTGTAATTCCTGCCAGGAGTCACAACCAATTCGGCCACTATTCCGCCCTGATGACCCGAAGGCAAGCCCGATGCCCGGCTCAAGGGCAGTGAGATCGAAACATGCCAACATGGCCCCAAACCCCAAACTTTTGTTAAAACACATGCAACACAACAACCTGCACACACGTCTATGAAAGTGGCAGTAGGCCAAGAATGTAGCAAATGACCATAAAATCTATAATGGACTCTTCCAATGCAGTTGAACCTCCGAAGCTATTGCCAGGCCTGTGGGTGCAAAGTTCTCTCCAGGGCACCTGCCTGGACTCCCACTGTTTGTGCCTCCAGACTGACTTCAAAGTTTTTTGTACTTGCACTCTCTGAAGGGTCCAGACGAAGTTGCGGCACTCTCTCCCTGGAGAGGCCCAACTCAAGGCCTTCGGTGATTCAGGGGCTCCAGCATCACAGGCCCGAGACTTCTGACAGAACGGCGAAAAAGAATAGCAAACTGCTGACGGTTGCTCTACTAGATGGATGCTTGCGTCGACATGCGCCAAACTATTCAACTGCTTGAAGCTTGAAGACTTGACGATGACCCCAACACAACTTCCCTTCTGAACTTGGTTCTTTCTGCTACGCCATCGTTCTGCGGCTGTCCCACGGTTGCACCAAGTCCCTGACCGGTGCGAAAGGAGCCAAGCCTGGCTTCCCCTTCCCATCTGGACTCCCATTAACCCATGGTAAATCATAACATATTTTGTATAAAATTGTATAATCGCCTATCGACTATATATGTTCTGTAGAATATCATATCTACATCAACTCACTCCAAAGCGCTGTCATCGCACCATGGGGTCTAAGGTCCAAGGCTGCAGGAACTTCCACTGCGAGCTGACGGAGAGTTCAGGCGACTTGGTCGCTTGGAGAACTGGGCATCCATGCAAGCTTCCCTGGATTTTACATTCTTCCCGTGAGCAAGTTCAAGGGCCCTGCAGAGCGGAACACAATGTCCCTGAAAGCAGGACGGGTCGACCCGGCTGCAACGGTGCAAGCAAAGCACCCGGAGTCGTTGGTGGCAGCGTCTGGGGGAGTGACGGATGCCCTCCTGAATGAATAGTTTGACAGAATCCATTCGGTCCGGTTCCAATGCTGGCCTGCTGCTTATACTGTGCTGCCACTTTCAACGAAAGATACCTGTAGCGTAAGCATCTGGGTGGAGAAAGCAAGGCAGTCTTTGGCAGCTCCTGTCCCAGCAGTAGAATTGCCACCTTGAATTGTGTTCCAGAACTCGGACCAGGAAACACAGCCGCTGTTGTCCTTGGACTCAAGCGCAACCCACAAAGATCAACTACGCTTTCCAGGCTGTGGCAAGGGCAAGGTGCATTTCGACTTTAGGCTGGGTTGCAGGGCAGCTGTAGCCATGGTCTACAACCTTCCAGAGCTTAGCCACTGGCAGCGTCAAACCGCTGAAAGATGGCGTCCTGCTCTGTTGGCGTAAGGCCTGATAGTCGTGTCAAGAGTAGCTGCTGCGGAGATGAGTCCTTTCGACAGCTGAATCGCGAAGGATAATAAGCGCTTTCTTGCAAAGCTCCTCCTGCCCTGCTGTGCCGTGCCCCTTGCCCTTGCCCTGCCCGCTGCAGCCCTCCCCTGCTGTTCCTGCCCTACCGCCCTGCCCCGCCCTGCCACTCACAAGTAAAGAGTTCACAGGGTGCAAAATGCCAGTTATAGTGGGCAAAGCAGGAGTTGTCTCCGGAATATCTTTCATGTAGTTTGGGATATTGCTTACGGGACTTGACACATCTTGTCACTTTGATGTGGCCTGCCTGGCTCGAAGCGGAGGATGATGCTTAGCAGCCTGGGATGGCAGGGCAATCCCACGAGGAAGCAGGCACGCTAGCTTCATGACCTGAAGGTCGGTGCCACATGCTGCAGAGGCTTTGGTTTAGCACCAACATGCTCAAGACTCCTGCCGTTTTGGAAGACAGGAAGCGAAGCTCACTTAGACACTCCCCAATGACAGGAGTAACTCAGGAGAGCACTCCTGCCGGGACAGCCGGCCACTGCCATCTGCATCGAGCTTGCCTCAGCTTCTGCAGCGCAGCAGATCCTCCATCTGCACAGCAAATGCTGACACCCGAATCCGTGCATGGACGCGAGAAACAAATTGGTTAACACGGGGCTGCAGCAGGAGATCTGCATGCACTCAGAGCCTCAAGCTAAAGAGATCTTGTGGGCGATATCCACCTGAGAAGAGCAAGCTTCTAGCTTCGGTGCGTGGCGCTGAATCAGGCCGGCGATAGGCAACCGCTGCAAAGGCAAAGGAGCCACCCCAACATGATTTCTTCGGGTAGGAGGTGGCTGCCCTACCCTTCTCTTGCCCCGTGCCCTCAGGTCACAACAGATCCATCGCCAAGAATTGCAGCAATAACGGTGTGAGAGGTCTTAAACTGATGCTGCACAGCGCTAGTGCCACCAACACTTGCAGCTTCACCGCAGATCACGACGCATCCATCCCCAAGAATTGCAGCAAACGCCGCGCTGTACCCGAAGCTTTAATGAGCTCACTTCTTCATCCAAGCCTGCAGTGACAGTTGTTGTCCGGCCACTGAGTCCAACTTCCACAGTGACCGAAATGTGGCAACTCAGAATACGGAAAAGGATCGAATCTTGTGTTTTTCCCCACAACGTTGCGAAGGCTACCGGATGTAAAAAAGCAGCAGTAAGAAAGTAATAAAGCCCTCGAGCCAAAAGACTTTGTGATGGTGTTGTCAAGTCTTGTCGGTGTTGTCAGGTCTTATGCCTGAAACATCCACAAAAACTTACGGCTGAAGAACTCAGACAGATAATAGGCAGACAGGCAGGCAGGCAGCCAAACAAACAAAAACAAAAACACACACACACACACAAAAACACACACTGTGACACTGCGCTCCGTGTGCGTGTGCATGTCTCCTTGCTCGACCACGGTTTGAGGAAGGACACAACAAGTCCCCTCTGTCTGTCTATTCTTTTTTCTTGATATTTACATGCAGGTCTTGCTTGCTTGTTACGGGTGTGTGGCCATCTCGACTCCCCTTTCTTTCTCTTCTCGCGGCTCTCGCGCGGCAGCGAGCAGCCAACCTCGTCGCAGCGAATTGGCGAGTCGCTGAATGATCTCCTCGATTTGACGGACGGACATATGTCCGGAGGAAGCTTTACGAGGTGTTCTCCAGTTCTGACTGCGGTCTTACCATCATGATTATTAACTCGAGTCACGCGAGGTCTAGGCTCGTGATCTTCATCGTTTGCAAGGCTGTTGTAAGGCGCAGAAAAAGTGTAGAAGTCAGGGCAGTTGATCAGGTCTGTGCTCCTACAGGTGTTGTCAGGCCTCTTCCACATTCTGAAACCGTCGTAACCATCAGTTGATTAACTGTTCAGTGATGCTGGGGTTGGGCATGAGTTCGGGTTCCATTGGATGCCTGGCACGACCCGAGTTCCAGGGCACTAGCCAAGGGCTGGACATCTGCCAGCTTTCTCTGCAGTGCTTCGCGATAAGGGTCCTGGCGCTCAAGTTGCCAAAACCAGTAAATCTTGCTCGATCTTTCCGCCAGTCGTGTGGCCTGCTTCAGGCTGAGCCTGAACTCCAGCGAGTGCCATGCACGCTTGAGGATGCCACAAGAGCCGAGCTCGGTTTTTTTTGCTTTCGCTTCCTCCACGAAGTCTCAATTAAAAAAAAGGTCTGTAAGAGGGTAAGCAGGCATCAGCCATGGTCAGCCCATCGAGCTCGAGCTGACTTTTGTCGAAGTCACACTACGTAAATTTGACGGGTCTCCCACATCGAAGTACCAAGTGGCTATGTGATCAAACGCGATCTGATTTTTCCTCCTATCCGTCCAGTCTGCCTTAGCCAACGACTGCGCTGATGTGGGCATCTTCACGCGATTCGACTCTTCGACTGTTTCCTGTCTTCACGCAATTCGGTTCCTCGACTGTTTCCTGCCTCCAAAAGGCTTCCATGGCAACTGGCTTGTGCGATTAGAACATCTTCAAGAACAGCTGCAAGAAGTGATGAGAGCTGGCAGCGCTTGCACAAGCCAGAGTGATGCAAGAATGGATAAACTTCGACTGCCCACACGGTTCATGGTGGGAGTCGAAGCTATTCCGTCGCTGAATAGAAGTACACTCCTGTCGGGGTATGCCTCCGGTGTGCAAACCGTAAGCCAGCATCCACAGAGCCCCGGCAAGAGTCAAGGGCATTGACCACTTCACCAACACGTACTTTCTAAAGCATAGCACGCACAATCCCGAAGAAACTGCACACAGCACCAAGTGTTCGTCAAACTGTGAACTCATGTCTGGCACTGGGCCATAATTCAGCCATTTTGCTGAAGCTGCCGACAATGGCCCCTTCTATTCTGGGGCCGGGCAGGATTTCAAAACCACAAATGTCGCGGTCGCGGCAGCTGAAGTCAGATGTAACTGTACTTCCGAATTCCACATTTCGGCGGCCAGCTCTGTTTCGACGGCAAGTTGAGTCACACTGCGATTACGACTCTTGGCCACCTTTGCAAAGCGTGCCAAAAACACAAACGCTTTGTAAGGTCTGGGCTTCCCCCACATGACTTTCAGAGGTAGCCTGTCCGGCCCCTCTGTGAATGCTGCGGCTGCAAATGTGAATTTCATTGAGCACTCGGCTGCCATTACAGTACTGTGGTCCCCTGAAGCTAGGAGTTTGCGGCTAGACGCTCATCGCGAATATGGCATATTCCCGAGTCTGTCTCAACCAAGATGGCTTGTGACCGGGACTTTTCCGGCTCTGCACTGCCAGAAAAGGGGGGGGGATAAACTATCAGCTACTTCATGCATAAGACCGGAACAGGCTGATTGCAGGGCACATTCAGGGCCCTTGAAGTACGAGCCCTCGTCGAATCATCTGCTTTCTGTGTCACTGGTAGCACATTTCCAAATCATCTCTTCACAGGCTGCATGCCAGCTCCCTTCGAACATCTGGGCCCTGAAGAGCAAATAAGGACCTTAAGGTTGCAGCGTGCTGCGTCACAGAAGACTGAGCCTCTGCATCTCAGCAGAAGCTGTTCATTTCCTGGGCGCACAGATACTTGAAACCGACCCCAAAGATCTGCATCAGACGGTGGGTCTGTCACAAGAAGACGGTGTGCATGCCTTGGGGACACCACATGTCACAAGAGAACGGAGTCGAAAAAGGCTGTGTGGCCGTTTTCGATACGTTTTGGGTCTGTAATATGCAAATATCTGCATTTGAGAGTCTTCGCCGGCTGGAGAGAGCTCTTCGCTCAAGGGGCCCTTGGTCATCATCAGTCTTGCACATGCTCAGATTGGAAGTCTCGCAGTTGGGCTCTCTGTTTGGCAAGGTGCCGTCTTCAATTCCTGCTTCTTCTCTTCTCCGGCGCGTAGTCGCCCCCACGCATGCCAAGTACCTGTACCGATGTCTGACCATGCTTGGAGTGAAGGAATTCCGTATCAGAAGCAGTGACGGCGTGGGAGGCAAAGTAGGACTCTGGATTCGCAATGATTCGCATGCACATCTGGAAGCTGTCGGGAGGCAAGGAATTCTGCGAGATAAGTGCAGGCCACTTCCATTGCGGTGCTGCGTGCAAGCATGTATTCAGTACTCTACGCAACGTAGGAGGACGGCCAAATTGCGGGCAGCCTCCGACCAGGGCGAAGGTGCATCCGCACAACTTCGTTGAATCAAAGTGATCCCCCAACCTGTATCATGGCAGGACTGCAACGTGAAGCTGCAGTCTTTCTGCTGCTTATGCACAAGGCCTCACAGCCAAAGCATGCACACGGCAGTCAAATCAGCTAAGTTGCATCATCACACCATAGCAAAGTACTAGCACTTTGTCCTTGGATGCAGCACGCCATGCAAGCAACCCGTCATGCAAAGTTGAACGGCAGAGCTACTGTGCCCAGAACCGCGAAAGCGTGCCTTCACAGCGGCATTACGCACTGTTTTGCCTACTAATTTTTGAATGACCAGGCATCTATGTTTGTGACCACGAGTGCGGCAGTCGCACTAAGATTGCGCGACAAACCAATGCCCGCGTAGGCGATGGCCGCACCTGATACAAATGGCACGTGGAACATGTTCTGCGCTTCGATGCGCTTTGCCGTCGCGAAACTGTTTCATTGCAGGTGCCTTACAGGTATTTGTATCTAAATCATCCGTGATGACGCGATGCTTGAGCTTCGTTTTGGGCCCTTCATGCTCTGCTGCAAGGCCAGTGGCCGTCTGATGTTTTCGTGCTTATGCGGTCTTTTCCAGCTGAGAACTGCGACTGCCTCCAATGCAAGAGGCGATGGACCAGGAAATTCCTGCTGGAGTCCATTCGACCTGCGCAGCAGAGGTCGTGGCCATCTTGTCAGTCTCTGCGTTCTGCAAATCATTGTGCTGCCTCGCTTGGATTTCATCAGAACGACTTTCTAAAGCCTCTCGCCTCATGGAGCTCCGTGTGCATGGGGTAGAACAGCAGCGCAACGGAGAAAAGGAGGCCCACAGCGTTGGACACAAGGACCAAGGCCTCTGCTGTATGAGGTTTCTCTCAACCCCTGCGTGTCTCAATGGATTCAATGGGTTTCAGCAAGTTCGACTCGGAGCTATCGGTTCAAACGGCCCGTCTTGCTGAACATCTACAAGTAACAGCAGCAGCTTTGACAACTTGCAGTCTGGATGAGCTCGGCTTCGTGCTCTTTTCATGCTTATGCCCGCAGCTGCTTTGACTGACAGCATCTTGGACCCCCAGTGCTGATTTAGTATGGCACTTGCCTGGTCTTCCACATTCCACATTTGGGGCCCATGCTGGCACAATCATTAGTGTAGTGTAGTCTTTACAAGACGCTCTGCACATGTGCGGCATGGCCACCGAAGAGGAGAGGGACACTGGCATCTCCTGGCAGGGGCTCTACGTGCATAGGCTCCTCGGTCTCCGGCAATCTGCAGTTGACAAGCTCTTCAGAAATAGCGCGCGCAAGCAGGGCAGGGCATGGCATGCGCCTCTGCCAAAGAGGTGTGTTACAGTGTAATCCCTTCCCCCTAATATCGAACGGCCCCCACCCCCCTGCCGCCCTAATAGAAAATCGGAAAGCATATTGATTATTAGGGATGTTCTTTTGAATCTCTACTGCCACTTTTGAGGGGTCGTGCTCTTGCTCCTGCTCTTGCTGCTGCTCTTGCTGATGCTACTGCTTTGCTTTGCTCTTGCTCCTGCTCTTGCGTTAACTCCTGCTCTTGCTTTTGCTCTTACTGTGCTCTAAGGCTAAGAGTATTTGGAGCCTCGAGACCCTCCCCCTAATTCAGAATAGGGCAGGCTCCAATGTGTTTTTATAATAAGGGCGGTGTTTAATAAAAGCGGAAAGCGATTAAGGCTTCCGCTGCAGACTGATCTAGGACCCCCATGCTGGTCCTGGAGTAGGTAGCGCTGCGCTAAACGATCCAAGCACACGAAAGCTGCGTCTAAGACCACCAGGAAGATCCCGAGGGCTTCCTCGCATGGGCGGCACCCGATGAAAGCTCACTGAAAGTTTGCGATCATTTCTGCAAAAAAGCCTTCTGTCCTTAGTGGATATGTCATCTGAACAATAGATGACAACACCTCGCAGGGTGCCGCAGGCTTGGAACTGGACGAACTTTGTCAGCCCTCCCCACGTGCTCATGACGTACAAAGTTGCACACTTGCCACAACCCGTGCCTATCAAGATCGTGGTCAAGGATATGATGGCATCCTTCGTGATCGGGACGCCGAACATCAGCCGCTCTGCTCCCAAAAGAATGAGAGGGCTGGCATTCCGGATGACTGTCAAGGTGGAGAGCGATGCATACATCCTTAAATTCGCAAGCATGCTGTTTCTGTGACACCTTCTGGCAAGGTGGTGCGGTCTGGCGCAAACTTCTAGTAGCTGGTCAGCATTGACACCTCACTATAAGGATGCCGGTGGTCGGTAGGAGTAGCCGAGGTGCAGGGCCTGCATGCCGGTCCATAAAATCAAGCCTGACAAGACCGCGATGGGCGACCACCGTATCACCTCGTGCCTCGGGAGGGCTAGGACCCAGGCAAATGCAGAAAGGCGCTGACCCAAAGCTCTTCCGCATGTGCAGTGTTGAAGAGACCATCTCCTAAAACACATCATATGTACCGAAGCCGCATGTTTCCACGGATCTCCTTGCTGCCGAGTATGTGAAGAACCTCAGGTCAAAAGGCGATCTTCGGCAGTAACTCTCTGAGCTTTATAAGGCCCATGAGTATTACTCATCTTTGCGCCAAGTGGCGCAGGCCACCAGGATAGTTGCTAGTTGCTGCATTGCTAGTAAGATAGTTCCAGCCTGAAGCCTGGTAGCTGCTTCCTGGCCAGGAACTCTGTACGCAGATTTATCGTCCAGACTTCCACATCCGACTGCTGTCGACTACTCCCTTCAGTACCTGCTAACCCTGTCACTGCGATCTTGCCGTACTTGGCAGTCGCTGATTTCAACAAGCTCTGCTGGTTTTTTACAAAACTTCACTCGCCCCTGTGTCCTTGTTTGCGACAACCATGCCGACACTGCATATCCTTGGTGCACGTAGGGCAGTACGAAGAACGAAGGATAAGCTGGTGGAAACATGACACCTCCGCAAATTGCAGTACAGATGCATATATAGCGTGGTAGCTCTGACTGCAGGATCGTCCACTGTGGGACTGAAGGTTGCTGGCAAAGAGAATCTGCGCGCCATTAGGGCACGTGGCCAGGGCCTATGCTAGGAGCAAGCTGACGAACTCGGACGGAATGCTTGGTCTCGCTCGGTTGTTGGTAGGCTTGCTTCGTTCAGCTGGATTCCAGTATCCACTTGGTTCTACAGCACCCTGAGCCAAACCTGCAGTGTCCTTGCCATCATTATGCCAATTACTCTTTCCAAGAGATGTGTTTCGGCAAGTCGGCAACCGCACCGCAAGAGGCCAATGCCATGACTTTCTGGAAGAGAGACAAGCAGAGGAAGGTCCTGAGGTGGAGCTTGTACCGGTGCTGCCGGGGCCGACGGGGCTGGTGGGGCGGGTGTTGGGGCTGCAGGGGTCGCAGTGGGGGGAGGTGGTAGGGGCCCTGGTGCTGGTGGTGGTGGCAACGGAAAGGATGGAGGAGCCGGAGGGGGCACTGTCAACATGAACCGACCTCGGCTTGGCAGGCGCATGTAGGTTTCCGACTGTCTACTTTGGAAACCATGTGTACCATTGTGTACCACAGCAGGCCAAGTTGCGAGAGGTTGCACAGATTTCATGCACGTTCGCCTGCACCGGGGCGCGACGCACATGCATGATGAGATTACAATTTCGGAACACAACGTGTGATAGATGAAAGACCGGCGTAGTCAGTGTCAGCGCATTTGCCGACAAAGGACGCTGTCTGACAGAATCCTCTCACCACGTCGTGTGATCTAATGGAAGCACGCATACAACCTGGCTTTGATAGAGTGGTCTCGTGGAAAGTGATTGGCAACAGCCAATTAGTACGAGTGCAGCCCGCCTTTGTGAAACGGACAGGTGCCCAATGGACCACTCAAAGCCCTTCGACAGTCTCATGCACGTGTTACTGGAGTTCGCTGGTTGGGCAGCATTTAGGCGCTAGTGTGGTGCGAAGTGTGTAAGTGTACTTCTGCCACAATAACGTCTCCAACCGCATGACTGTAGAAGTATCATGCCGGCTGCCACTTAAGCCTTTTATACTCACGCATGATGTTGTGCAAAGTCTGTAGACAAGCTCATGTCACACGTGCTGCCGACATGTTGCAGGAAAGCTGCCACAGAAAGGGGCCTGCAAACACTTTTCCGAAAAGCATCCACATGGCGGAGTGACGGCAACCCATGCTCAAGTGTCTGTGGCATCCAACGTTCTTCCTACATTGCCCTTGCTTCCTAGCTTTCCTTCAGCCGCTTTCGGGGAGGCTTCGTGCAGGGAATAAACCAGCCTAGGAAAATGGAATGCCCAGACTTCTTCCTCTGGGCGACAGGAGTCGAATGCTGGGGATGCAAGGAAGCAAGGGATTAAGCAGAAGATGTGCGGCGTTCACTTAGAGCGCCTTTCTTCCGGGTGAGACGATGCTCCCCCCAGCTTCGGGCATTGAGCTGGGACATGCTGGGATCAGATTATCTGAAGCATCTGCAGCCGATGCGTGTCGGCAGCATCTTTATGCCGAGGATGTCTTCTTCTCTTCTCCACATCTGATCTTCCGTGTCTGTCTACCAAGATCTGAAATATTTCGGTCATAACTTTGAGGTCGCTCAGACTTCCAAGCATGATCTAACGTAATCATGCCGTTTACCGCGGAGGAGCCAGTGCAGCACAAACAAAGAGCCATCTGAGAGCGCAGAGCAATCGGTGCACTGCCAAAGGGCGTCTCTTTGGCACTCCCCATGCTCACAAAGATGCCTCAGCGCTGGAAAGATGCACCCCTCTCGCGATCATACTTATTATCGAAAGCAATCGCAATGAACATGCCAGAGGGGTGCCTTGGATTCGCAATTCGGACTCTGAGCAGCCAGCTTTCGTGTTCGACGCAGCAGATGAGGTAGCTCCGCGACCTGCGTTTGCGCGGTTGTGCATGGAATCTGACCGCGACGGCAAAAGTCGGAGCACTCGGGGCTTACGGCTATGGTATACAGAGTGAGTATCAGTATAGTGACTAGTATAGTGGAGTATAGTGAAGCGTGGGTTCGCTGCCGCACAAAGTGGTGCTGCAGACCCCTATTACTACTGTAGCATGACACTTATGAGATGTCAGGAACACACAGAAACCAGCTGACTCCAGAGGCCGCCTGCTCGCTCGGCTCGCTCCCGAGGTTTGCTGTTTGTCCTTCCAGAAGCAAGCCTCCGCACCCGACCACCGCCACAGTCAAAGACAACCTACAGCAGAGATCAGCAGAGACAACAACAACACTAAAATCGCCAGCATCATCGCCAACAACCGTCCCGTCGCTCAGTGCAGCGAGTACAGTGAACAGTGAAGAGTGGGTTTAGACCGATGTAGAGTCAGAAATTTAGAGCCTGGACGGTCGGGCTCAGCCGAGAAACGAAACTTAAAGCGAAAACCAAGAACGCCAACACATTCCAGCAGTAATAGTGACTAATAGTGAGCATAACAGAAACGAAAAGAAACGCAACAACGACATAAGTAACACGAAGGCAGAAGCAGCAGCTGCAGCACCCACAACACTAGCAGTGCATACATGCAAGCTTGCACGTATGCTTATAATAATATACGCGTACATGGAGACATTCATCCATCCTTACGTGCGTGCATGCCTGCCTGCATGCATACATGCCTGCAAACATGGAGACACATAATCAACACACGCACACACACAGATATATATATATATGATGCAG